TCCGCTTCTCGCCTGCGGCTAGCTGGCTGCGGCGGCGGCCTCCGCACGCCGCCACACGCCCACGCTCCGACACTGGCCCACGGCCCTGCGCCACCACCGCTAACCCTAGCAGGCGCCGCTCGCCGCTAGTGGAGTCGCGCCAAGGCCCAGGAACACGGTCCCAAGAGTTGTCGTACCCGCGTAGCCATATAGACGTTGAGAAAGGAGACGAGGAAGTCACCGGACTTGAGGAAGAAGGCCGATCCCGGCACTCGGCGGTGGTTGAACTTGAGGAAGAAGGGGATCCTGGCACTCCCCGCTGCTGCTCCCCATCTCCCCATCTCCTCCACGCGAGGGAATCTCTGGTGGCGGCGGCGGGAGTCGGCGGGGAACCTCTGGTGGAGGCAGTGGCGGGGAACCTTTGGTGGTGGCGGCAGCGGCGGTATGTGGTCGGTGGCGACGGGAGTCAGCGGGGAACCTCTGGGTCCGATGCTGCTTCGTTTTTCGTTTCTATCCAATTTGGAGGGGTCTGGCTTGGTATCGAAGGGGAGCAGTTTTAGTTGTAGTGGAATGCCTTGGTATCGAGGGTCAATGCCAAAGACATCAAACAGCACGATTGGGAAAACTCAATTCCAATTTTAAATTCCACACCTCAATATCTACATCCAAACGGGGTATTAGAAAAAATCATCTGATCTCCCTCGACTATTGTGTGACTCCGAATTGCCTCCCTAAGTCAGAAAACCAAAATTTTACCTTCTATATGAGATTTTGAAAGTGGTTTTGATTAATGTGTCGTGGCGTCACAAATGAGGTAAAATGGACTTTTGCAATAGTCCAGAGAGATCAATTAGACTTTATAAAATATATAAACATATTTTTTCAAAAAAAATATCCAAATATTTTACTGGGACAATATACATTTAAAATACTAAAATATGATTTTATATTAAAATTTCATAAAAAAATGTTTTTAACTCATATTTTTTATAAAATCTTGCTCTATGTTTTCTGAGCTAGACACCACAATATAGAGCAATGATTTTACTAGAAAACACATGAAGTCTGGCACCACGAGTCCATCCAAACTGCCTTCCTCCTTGATCATGTGCTTCCAGTGCATAGTGTTGTTTATTAAAAGCCTCTAACCAATTAGTTATTATAGTGTTGTTTATTAAAAGCCTCTAACCAATTAGTTATTGTATATGTTCTATGTAACAATGGGTCCAAAAGTTGTAATGGTTTTTTTCTAACCATAAATGTTATGCCCAAGACGTATCTCCACGATGATACAATTTTTATGTCTTTTCTTTTTTTTATATTAATTTCATGCTGCCACAGAGAAAATTTCTACATATAACATCTAATTAACGATCTGCTTACCCATGTAAATATTTAACTAATGATGAGTGCTGTACGTATTTTACTACCCACGCTGTGGGTTAGCAGCGGTTAGCCCAACTGCATCCCAACAAGCAGTAGTGGAACCTCTTCAACGTCATCAAAGAACACACAGCAAAGAACCTGTGAGGTTGTTGCCCAGCAAAGAAAAGAACAAATTGCCATTCTCCTTTTGGCGTATATAATATAATACATAATCTTGCCTCATCAGCTCATCTTGTTAGGCCTGATTCTTGTGCTAGGCAAGGCTGCTTTCTCTCTCGCTTTGGGAATTGGCACAAAGTGTCCCCAGAAAAGACTTTGTACACAAACACAATTATTAAATTCAATAGTTATGTTACGATGATGGAGGTTTATGGTTCGCCACACAATGAAGACCTTTTAGGTTGTCGAATGAATTATTTTTATTTACGTCGTGTTCATGCCTATATTCCTGTAAAGGTCCGGTCTGATCCGTTCCATGGCTGCTGAGCATGGCACGGTAGGCAGCTGATAGGCAAAGACAGCACCTTCTAAGCGCGTCCCGAATATTTGTAAGTATTTGAGCAAGTTTAAAAAAGTATTTCTCAACACATATTAATTGCGTGCTTGCAGTGCGTTCAATTCCATGGTATGGGAGTATATTGTTGATCTGAAATTGACCTGTTGACTACTGGGAGCAAGCGAGCGTTTTGTAGAGTGCTGCCACATGTGCCGTCCGTCCAGATGCAGCATGGCAATATTTTGTTACAGTACTCTGTACTCCGGAGCAAATTAAATTCAAACGGCACGTCGGCACCTGGGATACTGGGCATCTGAGCGTACTGTATGTATTATTATATATATACTGTGGATCGCTAGATCTTGAAACGGCACAAATCTGAAATCAAAATTGAACTTGACGGACTTTTCAGGCAAAAGGAATCTACACTATAAATAGCAAGAATATTAGAAATAAGATCATATTTTGTAGAGACATTTTTTGCACTTTACTAATCGTGCACTACGCGATCTTACTCAGATCAGATATATATTTGAACAAATGAATCCAAAATTTGAAACCAAATGAATCTTTATACTCACATCATGAGCGGAGTCTTTATATACTTACTCAGATCAAATGAGCGTATTGATTGAGTGCGTAAAATAAATCCGCCATGAACACTGGGACCTTCCTTTGTCGATAAGACAACTTGTTTTGTACGTGCGCCATTCAGACGGGCAAATCTAACCGCTTGATATATGCAGTAAAAATAGTCACAAAAAAAAAGATATATGCAGTAAGAAAACGTCAGGCATGTGGGAAATTTATACAAGCTAATAAAACAGCATATTATGGAGCTGTCTCAATAATGGTTTGATATAATATTATTATCTCAAGCAATTTATATATTAATTAATGGACGGCTGGAAAAGGGTCTTGGAAAAAACAGGAACAGCTTACTCCACTCCATCGGACAGGCAGACAGGCAGTGTAATCCTTCCAAGACGACGCCCTCATGCCACTATGCGCTGACAGCAGAGTCTCTGGATCCAGTTCGCCCGTGGATGGCACATCGTCGTTGCGTAGTCTGATAGTCTCCCAGCGCGGGACGCGTGGAGTATGGCAGAGGGGACACACGCCTTCGGTCTCGAGGCAGGATCACAATTCTTCAGTTTCTCGGCCATATCAGAACGGTGCTCTGGCATGTGTTGAGGGCGCGTTTAGTTTAAAAAAATTTGGTTTTTGTTCATCACATTGAATTTTTGGACGTATGCATAGAACATTAAATATAGACGAAAAAAACTAATTGCACAGTTAGATGAGAAATCACGAGACGAAACTTTCAAACCTAATTAGTCCATAATTAGACAGTCTCTTGTTCGGTTTCTGCTCCGCATCCCACGAACATAAACGCTGCATGCACGGAATTGCTAGCGAGACCCGCGTTACCAGATTATTGTCTTTTGCGTGCAGGCGCGTAGACGTGGCTGGTTCTCTTCTTTCTTTCCTCACAAGAAGTGGCTTTGAGAGTAGCCAGCTAAGCTACGGTAGTGAAATCCAGGTTATACTTCGTTGCACTTGCAGTTATATTAGCTTGTTCACTTAGAGTGAGTTCAAGCAAGTACTTTCTTGTTTCATCACAAGCTGGACAACACCTATGCGTTTCTCATAACGGTCGCACAACGGCACAACTCGCCACCCAAAAAATAACAACTATGAATGAATAATAAGGTCAAGAGCTCACCGGTTTCAAATTTAAGCTCTACAATAAGACCAAGCCTGTTAAATTTGAGGACCTTTTAGTTACATTTACCAAAGTTGTTATCTATATAATATTAAAGAACCAAATCTCCTCCCATTTTTTGGTCCGTTACTTCTCTAATAACTAACTCAATGATGAATGTGGGAAGTGTCTCTGTGGATTATTTACAGGCTATAACCCTCCTATTTTATATAGCTACAAGAATCCTAATCCTAATAAAAAAACCCTAATTCCTAATCCAAATAGAAAAGACGAGTCCTAATAACATTAAACCACGTCAAGTTTCCTGGTTTTGGTCGTATTTATTTTTCTCTGTTTTTCCACGAACGTTATGACTTTTTTTCTTTTTTTTTTTGCCGTAGAGGACGGGCCGCGCTTTTTTTCAACTTCTTTTCCTATTTCGATTTCTTCTTTTTCCCGTTTCAGTTAGTTAGGTTCAGTTACATTCTCTTTCCTCGTCACGACGGGAAGGAGAGCCAAGTCCCTGTCGGCCATGATTTTTTTCGATTTCTTTTCATGTTTCAATGTCTTTTTCGATTTTTTCAGTTCATTAGGTTTAGTTACATTTTCTTTTTTCGTCACACTCAACTACATGTGTTCCATTATGTTATTTTCACGTTCAACTAAATGTGAATGTGAAAATAGAAATCGGTAGATGAATAATAACAATAAAAATAAAGAATAAAAACAACACAATACATACGCTTTGAACTCCATACCTCTGATCGAGAAGTAAATATTCCCACCACCTAGTTATTAATATAATTTTGATTAAAAGCAAAAGTCACATTATTATAACCGGATTTAGTTGATAGTCCAAAAATCAAATCGTGAAACTAGATCTTAAGTTATATCTACGAGTAAATATTTCTGTGCTTAGTAATGAGAGAGAAAAAAATCTATCAGGACCTTATTTTAATTTGATACAAGCTTAATTATACATTGTCAAATTATTGTCAACATTTGCTTATATTTTGGATGCCGTCACAAAATAAATTATAGCTCTCAAATTTTATAAAAAGGGGAAACACAAATAGTTATATAGCACTTTTTCTTCCCACACGAACACGTTTGCTAGTATAATATAAATAAAAAGAAAACAAAAATACACATGAACCACCATTGTTGTGGCATAGTTGGTTTTCTTAAATATCGTACAAATTTATATAAACGAGATGGTAAAACGAAACTAACTCTTGTTCCAGGTAAAAAATGCTAATCCTTGCCTTGGGAAGATAGGAGTCTGGGTAAACCTAACGAAATTGATACCCCTCCCTCTGGCTAAAAACAAATCGGATTCACAATTCCTCGCCGTCCCTTCCCCCTCCCATCGCTTGCCCCTCGCTCCTCTTCCTCTCCGCGCCGCCCCCCTTCGAATCGAAATCCCTCTCCGCCATGCCGAAGGGCGCCAAGAAGCGCGCCAAGCTCAAGAAGAAGAAGCAGCAGCAGGGCCACCCCGACGATGGCGGCAACACCAACGCCAGCAACGGCAGCGGTAACGGCAGTGATGACAACAACAACGCCTCGAGCGGCCGCGACGGCGACCACCACCACCTGCGGATCCCACCCAAAGTTTCTCGCGGTACGAATGGTACCTAACCCTCCTCCACCCTCTTTAAGCCGGAGCAGATCCGCGCGCCGCTTTAGGCACCAGCGGGGTGGGAATCACCTTTTCGCGTGCGGCGAGGGTGGCATTCGCTGTCGCCGCGGGTTTCCCCGCCACCATGTTCCCACCGGCCACCGCTTTACGGGCTGTTCGCGCTTTCCTTGCTCCCTTCCTTGCGCTATATGTATGATGGATGCGTGTGGTTTCTGATGCTGTGCTTGTGTGTGGGTTGGGCCAGTGGATGTGAGCGAGGACTCCATGGAGAGCTCCGAGGAGATGGTGACCCCCCGGGCCGCCGCGTCGGAGCCGGACGAGGAGGAGAGGAAGGCCACCGCGGCTGAGGTGACCGTGGAGCGCGCCGTCGAGGCGGACGTCGCCGGGTCTGGGGAGGTCATGGTGGACGCGTTTCCGCCGGAAACCGCTGGGCAGGAACGTGAGGGCAAGGTGGATGAGGCAGAGGTGGAGGTGCACGCCGTGGTGGCGCAGGAACCAGAGGTAAAGGATGTGTTGGTGGCCGAGGAATCCGTGGTGCAGGAGCCAGTGGCTGATGCACCAGCGGTGGATGCTTCGGAGGTGAAGAAGGAGGTGGCCAAGGTGCATCCGGTGCTTGAATCTGAGCCGAAGGTTGATGAAGTGGTGGTGGTCGAGGAGACGCCTGTAGCGCCTGAGGTACAGGAACCAGAGGTGAACGGCACCGGTGCCACTGTTGTGTTGAAGGAACCAGAGCCGAATAGCGGCAATGTGGTGGTCAAGGACTCTGCTGAGGTGTCGCGATCTCAGGAGGCTGTTGATGTGCATACTACAGAGGTAAATGGTGTATGCGGTTTAGTTCTATTCATCTCCCACGTTTTAAAGCTGTGAGTTCTGATTGGGTGGGTTCTATTTGCTGCAGGTGGCTCGCGGACCTGCAGTGGCAGCTTCAGGGCAGCGAGCAACATGGTGGAATTGCTGTGGCCTTTTTGATGCCTTTACTGGTTCAGGGAGATAGATGAAGGTGAGATGGTTCTATACTTCTATATCTCATGATTGTGTTTTTTTATAGTACTCTGTTGATTTTAAGTGGCATAATTTCTTATTTCTAAGCATACTGTAATTAGTGTCAAAGAAATTGGTGTTGGGGAAATATGGTCGTGAGTTTTACTGGTTAAGCCTTTGGAATATGAGGTGCATCTGAGTTCATTGTGCATAGCTTATTTGGTGAGATCATTGCGAGTGCTGTTCAATGTCAGTGTAATAGTTATAAATATAATTTAACCTGCAGTTTATAACATCTAAGGAACCTATAAAATTGCAAAGCGATGGTGTTTCTGTGGGTACTGAGCAAATGCTTTTTTCAGGGTGAACCTTTGAGCCATGAGATGCACTTTTGTATCTCTCACACATGGTGTAATAAATGTCTTGTGATATTCTTATCATTACTGTTAGATGTCATTTGTGAAGGTAGCAGCTAAAATTATTTGCTTAGCTTCTGGTTTGATTTAATAAGCCTTAGTGGCCCTTAGTTAGTAAATGTCTGCCCATATAGCTTATTAAGTTCACTTCTTGACTTCATTTGCTGAGTTTTGAATGTAGAATATACTCTACCCAGTTATAAGCAGTGAAAGTCCAGAAAATTTACCAAACGAATTTTCCAATTCAACTATTGTGCCACTCGATGTAGCTGAAGAGTGCAAGGTGAAAATAAAAGGCTGATTGCACAGATTAGGGGGGGGTGCTTAGATAATCACCATTTTATATATTCAAGTTCCATGTTTTTTTAATCTATTTAATAATTCCTTGACTATGGATTTATTTGTGGATTTTTTCTGACATTTTAAGGGAGTAACATTGTCTGCTATTGTTTCTGAGTGTCCTTCCATTGGTCCCATTTTCTTAAAAATGTGAAAACAATTTTTTTTTTGGCTTAGCATGATTGTCTATATGATGAATGGATGCATCATATCTTGAGAGATGGATGTTTTGGTGTTGGTAAAAAGCATCTCTGAGTAATATGAAAAGCTTCATATCATGACTTCTATTGGCTTAGCATGATTTCCTTTTTATGAACGTTGTTTTCCAAATGCTGATAAACTGCCCATATAAGATAGGTTATACATTGTGGTGTAATACCTGAAACTTGCTCAAGTCGTACCATTTATTTGAAACTCAGTATCTCATGCACATGAAAACATCGCATGGAATTTACACCCTACTAGAGGGCAGTAATGTTATGGACATGAAAAATGACTTCCCAAGTTCTGTATGTTTCTTTGACTTGTTTATTTTTGTTAATTGAGTTAAAACAAACTTGGGAATCCCAAATAACTGGTGATGGTCTATTGATTCTCTTCCACTTGGCAGCATAATGTGTATCTTTGTAAATAGAAGAAAAGGGCCAAGCACAAGTACCCAAACCAACACTCACACATACAGAACGGAACTTAACAATCTTAAACGATTACCTGCCAGACTAGCTTTCTTTAATATGATATGATGGCACCTGCTTGCTACATGTGGACTGAACTGCAATTGTGGTACTCATCAGTCATAACAAGAATACTTGGTCGATTTCCTCTGATGCCTGTATGAGTATATGTATTTGTCTATGTTGCGTTCTATATATCAATGTGGATATGAACGACTTACTGAAAATGATTACGGCCAGTCCTGATAAATATGATTCGAAACAATTGCTATGTTTGTAGCAACTCTGCTGGATACCGCTGTTCAGAAATAAGTCAATCGTTTTCCTGGTTTCTGAGGATGAGATGAAACATATGTTTGGCATTTTTTTTTATGAAACAGGAGGGGCTTGCCCCTACTGGAATTTTATTAAAAAAATAAGTATTTAAACTTCTCCTCTAATGTTCTCTTGTTTTTTTTTTCACAGGGTTGGAGCATGAAAGTCAAGAAGACAGAAAATGGGACGATGTTCAGTTCAAAGCTGATGAGCAGTTGTAACTAGACTTTGTTTGAATAGTCACATGAATGATGAAGCAGAAGGATTTGGGATAACATCGAGCTGATGTTTCTACTTTCTTCCTCCCTGTGTCTCTGCATCTGTGCAAAGTTACACACCCTGGTGGTGGTTAATATTCTTAATTTCCTCTTTAGTATCCCCAACGCCTAGTCCCCCCTGTCTAGTGTCGTCTAGGTACTGGTCTTGTAGCATAAAGAGTTGAAGTGGGTCGACCGTAAAGAAATTTTGTTCTTTCTGCCTTTATACTTATTTTTCTGGGGTATCGTCTGCTATGCCCCTTTCTCTCATGGTTGTCACTTGTAAGGAGTATATTTGTTCGAACAATTTGAGATGGTTCTTTGAATAGCCTCAATCCTAGATTGCTGAGTGTCAGCCAGGTTGGTCATAGTTATGACTGAATTCCGTGTTTGGGCCTTGTTTAGATTGCAAGTTTTTTCACTCTCTCTCCATCACATTAAATCTTTGAACATATGCATGGAGTATTAAATGTAGATAAAAAAAAACTAACTACACAGTTTGATTGTAAATTACGAGACGAATCTTTTGAGTCTAGTTAGGTCATGATTGAACAATAATTGTTAAATACAAACGAAAGTGCTATAGTGTCAAATGTTGATTTCTAACCCAATCTAAACAAGGACTTGTTTATAGGCATAGTTTATCAAGCCTCTGGCAGAGTACGGTTGCCAGCAAAAAAAAAAAAATGCGACGAGCAAAATGGCTGTTACATAAAAAATGTTGCGGGTTAAGAAAGTTTTGCATTCTAACTGTCTAAGTACGGTGATGCAAAGTGTTGCTAGTATAAACCAAGTCCTGCCTTTTATCAGTTGGGGAACTAAATTGAACCGCTGTTCTATAGGACTGAGCGATCACGGAGGAAATGGAACAGGTAGACTGAACCGCGAAGATTGAAATGCTGAACAGTTTTAGGACTGAGCTGCCACCCAGGAAATTGCTGATTGGATTGAGAAAACATTAAATCATTAATGGCTGACGAGGAAAATGCTTGTCCAGTCGGCAGAAAGGAAAAGACCAAAGGCATTTGCCCCACTGATCTTTGTTTTTTGTCCTCAACACCATAATAACGCGCCTGACCCGCTTAGCCCTTCGTTTTCGCGAAAGCGTTTGTGGCCGGGCAAGGCATCTAACTGCAGGAGTGCAGGGGCAAGTGGTGGCTACGCACACGCAGCCATTACGGTTACGAGGCTTGTGGCCACGAGCTCGTAAAGCGACCTGGCCGATTTCCGTTCACCACATGCTCATCTGATTTGAACGTCGGCGAATAACACTCCGTTCGCTCGATAGTTTCAGCCATGCTTATCAGACGTGATATAGTTTTTTTTTCTCACAACAAAACAGCATCAGCCGGCTTATAAGTTACAAAAACGATTGAGCGAACAGGAAGATTCTACCGACGTACTGTATAAAAAAGATGGCTGGCAGCACACTTTTCCATTCTGTGCAGATAAAAGTGGTTAAGAGCGAGGCTAATAATACAACCCTCATCATGGATCTTACAGCCTACTTATTAGCAACTCATATAGTAATTGGTTTACGTATAATTCATCCCTTCCTTTCAGAGTTTCTTCTCCATCTCAGCATACAGCCTACTAACAGCCTCTTGTTATTTGCTCTAATTCGCAGTGAATTTGGTCGTTGCCGGAGAAATTCTGTTCTGCACGCTGCGCTTTTGCCAGCCGTTCAGTGAGTCAGTGACTCGTTTGACTGACAAGAAAATTACACGTGGCCATGCGGTAAAGTGAACCAACCCCTAATGATATAGGAGATTTTCTCGTTGAGATTCACAACATATATTTGTGGGTTCGCGGACAGAGGGAGAGATACTCGAAGGTTCAAGCCTGACCACAAGGAGAAAGAGGGATATTCGCAGGACCAGCAGCCGGAGCCGGCCAGCCGGGCCACGTTTTAAATCAGACAACTCAGTCGGTATCGGTGGTTGTAGAGTTCGTGTCAGTTTGCAGCGGCTCGGTGACTGACGGACCCGTGCTGGCTTCAGACTTTATAAGAGCCCCAGATTTTTAGCACGAGGAAGGAGTGAAGGACTAGGTGAAACAAAAAGCAGAGGACCAAGCGAGGTGCAAGTGCAATGATGAGCTCCCTGTACGATATCTCCTGCTTCGCCGCTGGCCTTGCTGGTAATCTCCTCATTCTCCTACGCCTCTCAGGATTCCAAAACTCTGAATTGCCATGGAGACTAGGTAGCTGAATTTCTGTCGCCATTGCAGGCAACGTCTTCGCCCTTGCCCTCTTCCTGTCACCGGTGTAAGCTAGCCAGCACACTGATTATTTCTCTCTCTCTCTCTCTCTCTCTCTCTCTCTCTCTCTCTCTCTCTCTCTCTCTTTCATCTGTTCTGATTATTCTGATGATAAGGGATGAACTGCTCACGAAGTCACGAATGCGTTGCTGTTGTCTTCCTGCGTGTCGATCAGGCCGACGTTCAAGAGGGTCCTCAAGGCCAAGTCGACGGAGCAGTTCGATGGGCTCCCCTACCTGCTGTCCCTGCTCAACTGCTGCATCTGCCTCTGGTACGGCCTCCCATGGGTCTCCGACGGCGGCGGCAGGGCCCTCGTCGCCACCGTCAACGGCACCGGCGCGCTCTTCCAGCTCGCCTACATCTCGCTCTTCATCTTCTACGCCGACAGCAGGACCACTCGGGTGGGTAATTCAATTGCTTTACTTGCCGTCCTGGATTTTGACCAGTTGCCTCTTGCCGTGTCTGGCTTACTGACTGACACCAGTAAAATGGGGCCTGTTCTCCGGAAATTCCCTCCACAGCTCAAGATCACGGGGCTTCTGTTTCTAGTGGTCTTCGCGTTCGCGCTCATTGCGCATGCGAGCATCGCCTTGTTCGACCAGCCGGTTCGGCAGCTGTTCGTTGGCAGCGTGAGCATGGCGTCTCTGGTCTCCATGTTCGCTTCCCCGCTGGCTGTCATGGTATGCTATTCCATGATATACTTCTTGATCGACTCCACTTCTCCCATGCCGTGTGTGTGAATTGTGATCATTG